AAGCCGGACTATCGTAAGGGGGGGCTATGAGTGGTCTGGGGTGGCATCCCCTCCCACCCCACTCCAGACCCCTCATAGCCCCCCCTTCTGATAGTCCGGCATATCTGATAATCCGGCACCCCCTGGGTCCTAAAGGTGCTGGATTATCGGAAGTTTACTGTACCTTGCAATGCAACTACAAAAGTCCCATTTGAATGCCTCTTCTCATTTTCTGGTGACATTATAAATGAGAAGTGGGCAGCATCATCTCCTGTAAATATAAATAAATTTGTTTGTCTTAGCAATTGGCTGAACAAGAGGTATGACTAAATGAACTTGTAGGCTCTAAAGTTATATATTATTTTGGTTTTGAGTGCAGATATGTAACAAAAAAATTGACATTTGTAATTTGCTTTTTTACAATATAGAGATTGCACTGCAGTACTTCTATGAGGTGAACTGAAGAATACTATTTGTATTATTTTTACAGTGCAAATATTTGTAATAAAAATAATATAAAGTGAGCTCTGTATTCTGTATTGTAATTCAAATAGTAATTATATTTGAAAATGTAGAAAAACATCCAAAATGTAATACATTTCAATTGGTATTCTATTTTTAACAGTGTGATTAAGACTGTAATTAATCAGGATTAATTTTTAATTTTAATTAATTTGAGTTAATCGTGTTAGTTAATTACAGCCCTAGTGATAAGGCTTTATTTAGTCTCCATTAACTTTTCTCATTGTTACACTGTCTATTTTCCCTTGTAGTTACTACTTTCATACCTAGGTTACGTATGAATTAAATTGTAACAGAGAGGGGAAAATAACTAATGTGAAAAATGATAGTTCTTATTTAACAGATCTGTTGCTCATGGGACAGTTTGAGTTCAGATATTGTGTGGGTGCATAAGCTGAGTAGGTGGGAAGGGTGAAAAGATCTAGGACCAGTACAGTTTGACAACTTGCACGGTTGAAGCCTCTCTTATCAGATTGCTTCCTCATAGTGTCCCCACAACGACTCAACAGTACAGTTAGCAAGAAGTGTAAAGAAACTCCAAGAGAAATTGTACCACACTGTGGTACAGTGCCTTCCAGTGTTCCTGCAACACCATCAACTCAGATGACAGGCTATCCAGTGTTAATATGTACTGTTTGTTTTCTTTATTTACAAAAATAATATGTTACAGCGGTTAACCCTGAAGTCTGAATACATTTACTGAATTCACGACACCTTTTTATGGCCCATTTTACCCATCGGGCTAGTCTCCATAGGCAGTGCACAGCAGCAGATTGAGCCTCGTCTCTGTATTCTGTTCAAAGAAGGATAGATGCTACAATTCCTTACATCAAGATGAGCTAAAGTGGTTAAGAGGTAAATTTTTGCCTATAATTTAAAGTGATGTATTGTCTCAAGTGTAAGAACACGTTATTCTAAATCCATTAAAAAGCTTTGCAAATAAGTAGATCAACTTGGCCATACCTTGTCATTCCAAAATCTGACACTTTCACCACTCCTGACTCATTCACTAAACAGTTTCTGGCAGCCTGCAAAGGGAATAATTAATGAGGAAAGGTCAAAATAAGAACTGTTCAGATGAAATGTATTTATTGTATATTGGGATAAATCCCTGAATCCTGATTAGAGAATTGAATTTGATAGGAATTTTGTGTGAATAATAGCTATACAGTTTTATATATTGCTGTGAAGCCCAATCATAATTTATAGTGAGGAAAAACGAAATGCCACATTATCTGCATGTTTATTTTCTATATGTAGTGCCTGATCCTCTCTTTACTTATGTTACTAACCCACACACTTTCTGGGTGTGATGTACTGTCCCATTTTGTGACACTAACACCACTTACAGAGAGAATAATGAATCTGCTCTACAGCCTCAGCAAACAGCCAGCTGGCTTTTAGGTCATGTAGTAGAGGCCCATGCACTAAGCTTCAGAGATCCTAGGTTTGATTCTGCCCACAGATAATCAGAGTCTGTTGGTGTTACATTAGCATAAATCAATGTCAGCTGAGACCAATAGAGTTACAACAGTATAAAACCAGAATTTGACTCAGAAATTAGACACTTATTGGGTGATATCTGCTTATATTTCTTATTACTTTACTCAATTAAAACTATGGGGCTGATTCTATTCTCCCTTACTCCAGTGGAAAGACAGAATAATTCCTCTGAAGCAATGGAATTACATAGGTATAAACTCAGTGCGCTGGTCAGAATCATGTTATCTGCCACTGAGCATTTTTTCATTTCTATTGCATCAGAACCGTCTCGGGCCCTGTTTTCTTATCAACTTTGGTCTAATTAATTTCATTGGTGTTAAATCTGATTTATAGGTATAAGTGAGGAGAGAATTAGTTCATCGCTATGGGAAATTTGCATAATTTAGTTTTCTCCAGTGAAAAGTACCATTAGTATAGCTGTCATTCATATTAATACAGTATATAAAAACGCTAATGATCTGATTCTCTTTGATAGTAAAGCAAGCAATGTTTCAAATGAAACAGTGTTTTAGAGGAATAATAATACTTTTCTTACACTTCTACACATTATTTGAAACCATATCATATTAGAACCACTGTGTAAGATACACAAATATAGAGAGCTTTCAGGATCTCCTCCCATTGCTCACCATGTTCAATGTTTCATTGAGATCAGTCACTAGATCAATGATGAAACAGACAAGAGGTAAATAATAAATTCTTCAAGTGCAAATATATTTGCATACTGAAACATAATGTTAAAATGACCAGGAGAAATTACTTGATGTGGCTAGTAAGAATTCTGAATGAAATTATTTTACTATAAAGCATAATTAGCATAATTTTCTGGGTGGAACTGATGATAATAGTCTTGTTAAAACACTTTAGAGGTATTTAATCCACAACTCATGCAGGGTCAGTCGTCCTTCCCTACCCCAGATGGGTCAGTTTGGCAGATTTTGCTTAATACAAACACAACCAGTTAAACAATAGCATATATTTTGAGAAAGTTGTGAGTAACTGAAAAAGAGACCTGTTTAGAATAAAAACAGCTTCTTACCCATAGCTATTAATGCATAAATCAGAAATGTAGTAAAGTGGCTGATGTGATATTACCAGATCTCTGTGGATAAAACTGTTTCTCTCCAAGTACTCCATTCCTTCACATACATCCTGGCACACTGTCAGCAGCATATCTTTATTCAAGTGTCCACGTTTTTGTCGAAGGTAGTTCAGAAGGCACCCATGTTCCATGAACTCTGTCACTATATAAATAGGTTTCTGCTGTGTACAGACCCCATATAGCTGAACTAATTTAGGATGTGTTAGCTTCCTGAAAAGATTTAAAACATAGAGTTATTGTAATGTCCCTCCCTCCAAGAAGTTGTACGAATCTCACCAAGCTAGAATTTTTTTATTTATAAAGAAATGCATATGTACCAGAAACCTTGGCCCTACAGTACAAGTTCTATAAAGCAACTCACATCATTACTTTAGCTTCTTCTATGAAGTCCTCCTCAGACATTGCACCTTCTCGGATTGCTTTGATAGCCACTTTATATTGTGCCCTCCATTTGCCAAGGCGCACCACTCCAAAAAGACCACTCCCCAATTCTCTCATGAATGTCAGCTCTGATGGATTAATTTCCCATTTCTCTATATGAACAAAAAACCAGTGACAATTACAATACAATAGGGAACATATTAGATTTCAAGTGACAGAGGAATTTTACTAGCAAATGTTGGGATTTAAGTGTAAAGTACCTTCAAACTGCTTTAAAAATGTTTGTATTTCATAAATTGTGAAACAGCCACAGACTACAACAAACTTAACCAAGACAGAGGCGAAAATCAGACTCTGTTTTTTAAACCATTAATTAAATACTAATCATTGAAAGCCCACAATCTTTTCAAGTCATTCATAAAGTCATGTTTCAAAAAGCTTAAGAACTGAAATTGGACAGTAATAGACTGGGATTCCTAGTGATGAGTTAACTTGGTCATATTGTATAGCACCAGCCACAAAATAGTGATGGGCAACCTGTGGTCCATGAGCCACATGTGGCCCTTTGTGGATTCATATGTGACCTTCATGCCCCAGTCTCTGCCTCCCTCCCCCACTTACTTATTCCTCTCACTCCTGTCCATCACTTCTGTAGTGCCATGAATCAACTGATTTGCGCCCCGTTCCCACTCCTTCCTCTCCCTCCCAGAGCTTGAATGCCATGAATCAGCTAATTCATGGCACTCTGGAAGTGGTGGGAGGAAGGAGAAGGAGCAGGGATAGGATGTGTTTAGGAGAGGAGTTGGGGAAGAGTATATGTAAATTTTTGTTTATTATTACCTGAAGTTGATGATCATTCTATTAATATATGAATGATTAAACCATTTCTATTTGTTTTAGCATGCCATGTATTAATGTAATAATGTATGTAATCTTATTCTTGGCATCTGGGTTAGAACACATGACTGATTTCAATCTTGCAGCCCACTGAGACTAAGGAGAACTACTCATGCAGTCCACTCACTAGACTTGCTTGTCCATTGGTGTTATAGAACATCCCTTCAATAATTCCTAGAGTGTCTCTTTTAGAAAAATCATCCGATCTTGACTTTAAAATGGTCAGTGATAGAGAATCCACTGTGACCCTTGATAAAATTTTCTAATGGTTAACTACTCTCTTCATTAAACTGTATACCTTATTTCTAGTCTGTTTGTCTAGTTTCAACTTTCAAGCCATTGGATCATGTTATGCCTTTTTCTGCTAGATCAAAGAGCCTATTATTAAACAGATACTTAGTATAGTAGATAAACAGTAGATGAATAGATAATTAATATAGTAAATACTTACATCTCTATATAGATACATATCCCCAAGTAGATTAAGTAGTCGCTCCTTAATCTTAACTTTGTGAATCTAAATTGATTGAGCTCCTTGAGTCTGTCATTATTTTCTAATAATCTCATAATTCTAGATGGTCTAGATGGTACCGCGTCCTACCGTGACGGCAGGGGACTGGACTCGTTGACCTCTTGAGGTCCCTTCCAGTTCTAATGTCCTATGATTCTTGTGGCACTTCTCTGACCCTTCTACAATTTATGAACATCCTTCTTGAATTGTGGGCACCAGAACTGGACACAGAATGTCATCATCAGTACAATTACAGAGATAAAATAACCTCTCTACTCCTATTTGAGATTTCTCGTTTTATGCATCCTATGATTGCATTAGCTCTTTTGACCAGGGAGTCACAGTGGGAGCTCATGTTCACCTGATTATTTGCCACAACCCACACATTTTCGTCAAAATCACTGCTTCCCAGGATAGAGTCCTCTATCCTATAACCCCGGCCTATATTCTTTCTTCCTAGAGGTATGCATTTATATTTACCATTTAAAAATGCATTTTGTTTGCTTCTACTCAGTTTAGCAAGCAAGTTCACTCTGAAATAGTATCCTCTTCATTGTATACCACTTGCCAATTTTTGTGTCATCTGCAAACTTTATAGTGATTTTGTGTTTTCTTCCAGGTTATAGATAAAGATGTTAATAGCATAAGGCCATGGATTGATCCATATGGGATCCTGCTGGACACCAAACAGCTTAATGATGATTCCCTGTTTAGAGCTACATTTTGAGACCTATCAGTAGTTTTTAATCCATTTAATGTGTGCCATGTTAATTTGGTATTGTTCTAGTTTATTACTCAAAATGTCATGTGGTACCCAGTCAACCACCTTATTGAAGTCTAAGTATATTATGTCAACACTATTGACTTGTACAACCAAACTTCTTATTCTCATCAAAAAAGATATCGCATTAGCTTGAGAGGGTTTATTTTCCGCAAACGCAGTCTAAACAAAAGAGCTCTTGGCCATTCCTATGGTGGTTTCCATCACATGACACTGACTCAAACACACATTCTAGGCTTCAGATTGATATTGGAGGTTTTTATGTGTAGTGGTTGTGTTATTGTGTGAGTGGATGCATTGATTTTATGTGTGGCCTGTGTTGCCTTGGGAGAGTTGTGTGGATTTATGCAGGTGGCAAATAGGAGAGTATGCTGAAGAGAGAGTCTGTTTGTGTTTGGGTTTATTGTGTATGCTGCTTGTGTTGTATGGGTGGTTGTTTTCATATGTGGGATTGATGCTGAGAGATATGATTTTTTGTGTGGGTGGCAGTTGGATCAAGTAACCCATGTGGTTTAGTCTCTTGAGAGCTGAAATGTTTTGTTTTAATTTCAGTTATTCAGTTTAGTGCGCAGTTACTGATTTATGGTTGCTGCAGTGATCTGTGATACACAGGAGGTCAGATTAGGTGATCTGGTACCTTCTGTCTTAAATTCTTTGACCTTAATCCACCATCTGTGCAGTCTCCCTTATACAATCAATGAAACTGTGGCATGCAAATTAGATTTATAGTAAGGATGGTGGTCCTTTGGTTTACCTCTGATATTACAATGATGTAAGACTGTTGGCATGGCATAGATATATGGTGTAATTCATTGAGAACTTAAAAGCTGGATGGTAACAGACTGGAAAATCCAGTGGTGACTGAACCTTGTGATACTTTGTATAAAAAGAACCCTCAATCATGCTTACTGCTTCCATCATTTCAGACTGACTCTAAGACATACCAGGCTTCAGAGTGACACAGAATACTAATCCTGGACTCCTGTTATAGAGAGTGACATTGTATTATCAAGTGTATATACTTGATCAGCAAATTGCCCTTATCTAAAGTTGTGCCAGTTCATCTAAGCATCATAAATTAGAGATATACAACGTCTGGTGCATTAAATGGGAGCAAGATCACTCCATTCCCTCCCATCCCATGGAACACCAAAACAAAATACAGGATGCCCAAATTAAAGTAGTAAAAAAAGCTTGAGAGCCTACAATGGAGGCAAGGGCATGACCCTGTAATCATACTGATCTCGAGGTATCCCTAGGGGCAATAGAGGGGGGCAATAAATTATTGTGGAGGAACAGAGCCTCCTACCACTTCTTCTTGGGCAACTTGCTTCCCTCTGGAGCAATGTAGTCCTTGCATGTACTGGTAGACTTGGATTCCAAACCTATCCTTCCTGTGAGGCTTCAAAGAATTAATACAGAGAATCAATATATATAATTAGAAATTTCCATCTTTTTAGTATATATTTTGTCAATTTAGATTTACACAATGTCACTTTCTAGGAAATTAGTGTATATTTATGAAGGTGTGTTATTACCATAGCTGAACCCTGCAGTAGTTGGTGCAGGCTTCTTCTTTGGAGTCACTGGGTATCGCAACCGTGTAACAAGACCTAAAATTCCGAGAATAATTATAAATGGAACATACTCTATCCGAAAACAGTATTAAGCAGCAAATCAATCATAATTTAATTATACATTATAATGATGGATAACCATGAGACTATAGTTTGCATAGTAGTTGTAGCCATGTTGATCCAAGATTAGTGAAAGAAGGTAGGTGAGATTCAGTGAAAGCCTTGTTATCCAGCACTCTGTTTAACTGGAAAACTTTGTTAACTGGCATTGCTCGCAGCCACAATACTGATGCATTTTCAGGTGCATTTACTTGATTCCTGCCTGTCTAGCCATCCATTGTGGAGTTTCTCACAACCTGCACTGCCAGCTAATGTCATCAGGAGGCACCTCTTTTCACCTTCAGCCTGCCTCAAGCTGCCAGGAGCTGGATCTGCAGGTAGTGGGTGGATCAGCGCAATAAGCTTTGTCATCCAGCATATTCAATTAACTGGCAACCCTCATTTCACATAAGTGCCAGATAACAAAGCTTTCACTGTAATATCTTTCATTAAACCCACTTCTGTTGATGAAAGAGACAATTTTTTGAGCTTACCCAGTGTCAGAGGCAAAATGCAAGAGAGGACAGAAAATACATATAAATAAATAAAAAATAGTGAGAATATAGTGAAAGTTCTTCGAGAAAGAAATAGAATTGAAATTAGTTTTGGCGTATTGTATACATCTTGGCTTTGTGCTCAGGAAAATTAAAAATGAAGCCATCGGCATTCAGCACCTCTGAAAATAAGAATTCCTAAATTTGGCTTAAATGTTCTCTGTATTTTTATTGCAAAAATAATGTACATTTAACATCTAAAATAACACGGCTGGCTGTTGAATAAGGACTGCAGAGACTGTAACTCAAGCTGTAAACATTCTTTAAAAAGTATAGTCTCATCACTATGTTTGGTGATCAGTAGCTCCCATTTGCAATAACAGGAGTCACACACATGAAATTCATTTTAACTAAATATTCTCCTAACACCTGGTTAGGAAAAGATGATGACATTAAATAAGTAAAGGATAAAATACACGGAACAATAATCAAGTATTTAGAGTCAAATATAAAAAACTTCCTCAGATAATTCTGAGGGGATCCCAGCAAATTTGATGTAAACATCTTATAAATATATGCCTTGATGTGTCACAATCTGGACTTGAATAAAAATCACTGTATTGTGTTAATTTTTGTGCTCTGGTCAAGATCCTGGAGTGTGTGCCAAATGGCCACTGGATTTGCTCTGCTTAGTATAGCCAGCTACAGGATCTCCTTAATACTAGCAGGATTGTCTGGTGCCATTTGGCTGGTGTCCAGGTTCCTAAACCATCTATTCCTTAGTGCCGGCATAGAAGATGTTGTTGGAATACGTACATACCAATTCCCAGATGCCAATTAGGCCATTTAAATCTGTCAGTAGCCAGTGTTGCTAAAAGCCCTCATGTTACTCTGAGCTACTAATATTGCACAGTGCAACATCAGGATCGGGGGAATGCAAAGGTGAGCAACACAGCCCCTTCACTGGCTTATCTGTCTGTCCCTAAAGTGTAGCCAAGGATCTAGTCCACGGTATAGTAAGCTAATGGAGGATACTGGATGGATTTAAAATTTAATAAGAAAGTACAGTAAAAGGGAACCAACTATAACAGTAAAAGGAAACAGCTATTATTGTTCAGAATACTCCGTAAGTATGAGGAGTTTGTTCAACGTGTAAAATGTAGTGGTTATTCATGAATAGGAGAGAATATTTTTAAACAAACATTTTGTGAAAGGCAGTGTCACAGTCCCTTTAAAGGGCATTCATGGGTCTGAAGGGAAATTATGTAAAAATTGCATCACCTTCCTATTCAAATCCGCTTCTGTTTAATTGACAGAAAGATCAGATTCATTTACCTGCTGCATTATGTTTATGATACTCAATTATCTCTGGAATGGTGTTAAAAAGATGTTTTTCTGCTAGATAGTACTGCTTTGGTGACGCCATTGTTTCTTTTATGTGGTAGTGTCTTATTCCTGATGAACCTTCTCTAAAAAACAAAAATTAAATATGATGGCATTTTTAAGAATGAATCCTGGAGAGAGGTACATATTAAATAGGAAATTAAATCACCTCTACATGTAGAATTGTACCTAGCCCTGCCAGATGAATATAGAAGAACAAATGTCCTCCTGATTTGTCACCACATACAAAAGATGTAAACAATCAATCACAGTGGCCACAGAGTTCAAAGACTGTTAGCCTAGCACCCAGAGTGGCAGTACTGGGTCCACAGGAGGCAGTAATGAGTGAACTCACCCATATGTATTGCTCAGCATCAGTGGTCTCTTGGGATTAAAGCATGTGTACCCACTTCAAAGGTATCACTGGCAGGGTTGCCAGGTGCCCGGCTGATGACCTGAACACCTGGTTGAAAAAGGGACTGGTGGCTCCAGTCTGCACTGCCAACCAGGCCATTAAAAGTCCGATCAGTGGCATGGGAGAGCAGGTGGGGGACAGGCTAAGACAGGCATAGGGAGGCTCCAGCGACATTAGGGATGCTAATGGTTACAAGGGCAACTGGTTAACCAATAAGTGACTGCTTATTGGTTAACAGTCCCAGATAACCGCAACACCCCCCAACCCTGCATGCTCTGCATTTAAAACTCAGATTGCCAGGCTAGCTCACTCCCAAGCCTGCTGGTCTGAGTTTTAAATGAAGTGCAGGCAGGATAGACACCTGTCACCCTGCACTGCTACCTCTGATATAGAGGCAGCAGCACAGGGCAGCAGGTGGGAGCTGGTCTGCATGGGGAGCCAGTTTTTAAATCAGTTCCCCCTGTGGACCAGCTCACACCTGCCACCCATATAGAGGCAGCAGCGCCGAATGGCAGGGGGCTCCCCAGGAATGGGGCCAGGAGTGTACTGGCTGCCATCCTTGCGCCTCGGGGGGCTACTGAGTAACCATGTAACCACTAAGAATTTTAGCAGTTACACAGTTATTAAAATAACCAATTTCTAACATCCCTAGTCCACATGCTGCCCTTGTGCCCGCAGGCACTGCCCCTCACAGTTCCCATTAGTCATGGTTCCTGGCCAGTGGGAGCTGTGGAGCAGGTACTCCATGTACTGTCCTGCTCCCCGAGTGCCAACTCCATATCTCCCATTGGTCAGAAATCATGATCACAGGGACCTGGCAGCCACTTCCTGGGAGCTGCAGTAAGTGCTGCTGGCACCCTGAACCCCCTCCCTCACTCCTGCCTCAGCCTGGAGTCCTCTCCCACACACAAACTCCCTCCCAAAGCTCACACCTTACCTCCCACTCCAAGCCTCTGCCCCAGACCTGCACCCAAACCTCTCATCCCGAGCCCCACCCCAGGGCCTGCATGCCCAGCCAGGGTCCTCATCCCCTCCCTGCACCTACCTTCTGTCCCAGACCTCGAGCCCCTTTCTGTGCTCAAACTCCCTCCTGGAGCTTGCATCCCAACACCCTGCCCCAGCCTGGAGCCCCTCCTGAACTCCGTCTCCAAACCACGCATCCCTGGCCCAGCCACACCCCAAACCTCCAGCCAAAGGCATCCTACATCTCAACCCTTCATCCTACATCTCAAACCTTCCCCCCAGCCTACCGAAAGTGAGGAGGAGAGCAAGTGATGAAGGGAAGAGGTATGTAACAGGCAGGGAACTAGGTCTTGGAAAAAGGGTGGGGCAAAGGTATTTGGTTTTGTGCAATTAGAAAGTTCACAACCCTAATCACTGGCTGTGCTCTCCCTGAAGCTCTGGGAGGCACAGCCGTGCTTTTAAGCACAATGTGTTTCAGACACCCTTTTGGTGCAGTGGAATTTGCACCTTTCCCAAACTGGGGCTGTGTCTTAAAGGCACTATCAAGGCTGTAAATTTTAAACCAGTGGTTTTCAAACTAGGGGTCATGACCCAGTACTGCACTGCACCCCAGAAGCAGCCAGCAACAGGCCCAGCTCCTGGGGGGATAGGGAGAAGAATGCATATGGCTTTGCACACTGCCCCTGCCCTGAGCACTAGCTCTGCATTCCCATTGGCTGGGAACCTGCTACTGGCCGCTTCTGTAGTGCAGTATGCTCTGTGGTGCCAGGACAAGAAAGAAGCCTGCCTTAGCACCCCCACTGCATCACTGACCAGAAGCTGCTTGAGGTAAGCCCCTCCTGCCCCAGTCCTGACCCTGACTCACCCTCCCCCCCAAAGACGGAGTCTAAAGCTCTCATCCTCACCCCTATCCCTGGAGCACACACTTCAGTGAAATTATGTTGGGTCACAGGCATCAACAATTTTCTTCAACAGGGTCCTGAGACTGTAAGTTTGAAAACCACTGTTTTAGACCGAAAGTTAGAGCAATTGTCAGAGTTTTGAGCACCTTCAACTTGCACTAATCCCATTAACAATTGTGGGTGTTAAACACCTCTGAAAAGGTTACATATTTAGATGTCTAACTCTGGATTTTGGGCTTAATTTTAGGCATCCACTTTTTAAAATATTTGGCTTAATTCTTCATTGAACGAATAAATCTCCTTTTTCTAAACTATGAATTTGTATATCTAAGCAAATAAAATTCAAACAAAAGAAATTGTAATTAGTGGCAACAGTAACTTACCCTCCAAATTTTGTATAAAGGGATACTGTATACAGACCCGGTTGACTAGAGTCTCTCACCACAAAGCCACCTTCTTTATCCTGAAATCCAAGTACCATAACAATTTTAGGCTCCAGTCAATGTTATGCTTGTGCTGATATTTGCATGAATCAGAATTAACTGATTATTTCACTTTAAGAGGAGCTAACTTTTGAGCAAGGTTGATATAATAATAAAAATATTTACCTCATCTCTGAGAAGTTGTTCTGCCTTACTTCTGTTCAGATTTCTGCAGTACCATCTGAAAAAAATTATAAACTCTTAAAGATATTCGTAATTAAAAAACATACATAAAACAAAATGTTCCGAAGCTTCAGGAAGTAGCCCAGTTAGTCTATGCAGTGCTACCAGACCATTTGTTGTTTTAAGTTTATCCTGTACAGACTAACAGAACATGTAGATAGTATCATGAGCTTTCATGGGCACAGCCCACTTCTTCAGATGACAGGAAGTAGGCTGTGCCCACAAAAGCTCATGATACCATCTACATGTTTTGTTAAGTCAACAAAGTGCTACCAGGCCATTTGTTGTTTTTTAAGTTTAGAAAACAAAATGTTATGCAGTTATTAAGACAGAGTCAAACAGATTCAACATATTTTGCAGTACACGAGGACAGGAACTGAATCTATTGAATTATAGTGAATTTAAAAGAACATTTAGCCATCTTTATATTGTGTAATGTTTAGACAAAACCACAGACCCAATGAGCTCTCACAAAAGCATGGAGCCCAATAAAGTCCATATAACATAACTCACTTTGCAACCAGAATACCATTCAAATATCACAGAATCATAAAATACTATAACTGTAAGGGACCTGGAGAGGTCATCAAGTCCAGTCCCCTGCCCTCAACGGCAGGACCAAGTGCCATCTAGATCATCCCTGATAGATATCTATCCAATCTGCTCTTAAATATCGCCAGTAATGGAGATTCCACAACATCCCTAGGCAATTTATTTCAGTGTTTAACCACCCTGACAGTTAGGAAGTTTTTCCTAATGTCCAACATAAACCTCCCTTGCTGCAATTTAAGCCCATTGCTTTTTGTCTTATCATTAGAGAGCAAGGAGAACAATTTTTCTCCCTCCTCCTTGTAACACCCTTTTGGATATTTGAAAACCATTATCATGTCCCCTCTCAGTCTTCTGTTTTCTAAATTAAACTTGCCCAATTCTTTTAGTCTTCCCCTTCCCTCATAGCTCATGTTTTCTAGACCTTTAATCATTCTGTTTCTCTTCTTTGCATCTCCTCCAATTTCTCCACGTCTTTCTTGAAATGTGGTGACCAAAACTGGACACAATACTCCAATTGAGGCCTAAACAGTGTATAGAAGAGTGGAAGAATGACTTCTGGTGTCTTGGTCACAACACTCCTGTTAGTGCATCCCAGAATCATGTATGCTTGTTTTTTGCAACAGTGTCATGCTTTTGACTCAAATTTAGCTTGTGATCCACTATGACCTCTAAATCCCTTTCTGTAGTACTCCTTCCTAGACAGTCACTTCCCATTCTGTATGTGTGAAACTGATTATTCCTTCCCAAGCGGAAATACTTTGCATTTTTCCTTATTAAACTTCATTCTATTTACCTCAGACCGTTTGTCCAGATCATTTTGAATTTTGACCCTATCCTCCAAAGTACCTGCAATCTCTCCCAGCTTGATATCATCTGCAAACTTAGTAATCGTATTCTCTATGCCATCATCTAAATCATTGATGATAATATTGAACAGAGAGTCCCAAAAGAGACCCCTGCAGAACCCAACTTGATATGCCTTTCCAGCATGATTGTGAACCATTAATAACTACTCTCTGAGAATGGTTATCCAGCCTGTTATGTACCCATCTTATAGTAGCACCATCTAGGTTGTATTTCCCTAATTTATTGATAAGATGGTCATGAGAGACCATATGAAATGCTTTATTGAAATCTAGGATAACCGCTTCTCCCTCATCCACAAGACTTGATATCCTATCAAAGAAAGCTATCAGATTGGTTTGACATGATTTGTTCTTTACAAACCATGCTGGCTGTTACCTAGCACCTTATTATCTTCCAGATGTTTGTAGATGGATTCCTTAATTACTTGCTCTATTATCTTCCCTGGCACATAAATTAAACTGACTGGTCTATAGTTTCCTGGGTTGTTCTTATTTCCCTTTTTATATATGGATACTAAATTTGCCCTTTTCCACTCTTCTGGAATCTCTCCCAATTTCCATGATTTTTCAGAGATCATAGCTAAAGGCTCAGATACCTCCTCTATCATCTCCTTGAGTAATCTAGGATGCATTTCATCAGGACCTGGTGACTTGAAGACATCTAACTTCTCTAAGTCATTTTCAGTTTTTTCTTTTTTTAAATTTTAACTTCTAAACCTACCCCAATTCTACTAGCATTCACTATCTTAAGTGTCCCATCACCATCAAACTTCTTGGTGAAAACCAAAACAAATAAGTCATTAAGCACCTCTGCCATTTCCAAGTTTCCTGTTATTGTTTCTCCCTCTTCACTGAGCAATGGGCCTACCCTGTCCTTGGTCTTCCTCTTGCTTCTAATATACTTGTTTTTATTTAAATTTTGATTCAAAACTACATGCTTGAATCTCCTCTAACTTCATCAGTGGAAATCAGGATATGCATCACAGTGAAACATAGACAGCAAAAGAAGAATTAGAAAATCATGTACAGGCAGTCCCAGGGTTACGTACAAGATAGGGACTGTAGGTTTGTTCTTAAGTTGAATCTGTATGTAAGTCGGAACTGGCGTCCAGATTCAGCCGCTGCTGAAACTGACCGCCAGTT